TCTGCGATCTAGAGGCAGAGTTTTCTCTGGGTATCTTTGACTCTTGGCTCTCAGAGAAAAATAAACTATTTCAAAATAGATTTGAAATAAGAAACACAATATGCCAAATATCAAAATAACCCGCTATTCCGAAATGTCCCTTACTCCTTGGCTGTGTCTACACTGGGCCACTTATTCCGGAAAAGCAGCCGCTTTTCCGGATTAACTTGCCAGGTGTCTACACTGGCCCCTTGAATTTTCGGAAAAGCACTGATGATCTACTGTAAAATTGTCAGTGTTTTTCCGGAAAAACTATGCTGCTCCCATTCGGGCAAAAGTCCTTTTCCGGAAAAACTGTTCCGGAAAAGGGCCAGTGTAGACAGCACAGTAGTCTTTTCCACAAAAAAGCCCCAATCGCGAAAATGACGTTCGGGGCTTTTTTGTGGAAAAGCGCGTCTACATTGGCCACGGATGCTTTTCCGTAAAAAGTGCTTGTCCGGAAAAGCATCCTTCCAATGTAGACGCACTTTTTCCGGAAATACTTATAACGGAAAACTGTTCCGTTTTAAGCATTTCCGGAAAAGGTTGCCAATGTAGACGTAGCCCTTGTGGAATAAGATTTACAAAGAAGTCAGAATAGCTAGCCCATTATATTTCAAAATAAGGGGCTTGCTATTACAAAGAGGAACAGCTATTTCAGGTATCTTTGTACCCCAAAAGAGTGCTGCAGTGTCAACATAACTGTCCAGGCCCACAGGAGGTTGCTGGTTTGATGCTGAACTTTCAGCCTTCTGCTCGTGGCATTCCCTCTTGAGGCGATGCAGGAGGGCAAAGGAATTGAAGGCTGAGCAGAACTGGAGAGAGCCCCTCCAGGGGTGTTAACTGAAGGGTTGAGCATCTTCCATACCTAGGTTCCAAACTGTCCCACCTGGCTCCCAATTGGCCCCCCCTGCTATGGTGCTGTAGATGCCCATATTTTACCATACAGTGAAATCAGGACAGACAGAATTGCCAGGAAAGGCTCCTCTCTGAATTGTTCCTTCGGATGCTGCGCCCTTCTCCCCGGCCCCACCGGAGCTGTATGCTGCTGCCACGTGACTGCTCCACATGCATCTTCCCACAGCAGAAAGCACTCTGAACCAGGCTGTGACTAGCCAGCCCATCTCTGGGCACCCAAGGGATGTTTGGTGTCTGTTACCAGCACGGAGCTTTGTACAACAGCCCAGGGAACACTGTGAAAAGCAAAAACCTTCCTGCTCTGGGTGTCCCTGGCTAGCCAGTAAGTGGCACAAAGGTTCCTGGCAGCACTGACTTGGGGTAGCTTGAAAGCAGGTACAGGTTGGCTGAGTGGCTAAAGTGATGCAGTGCTGATCCAGTGTGCTTCCCCAATGCATGGGTTCAAATCCCATCTTCGTGGGGTGCTCGTAACCCTCTCTCTTGCTTCTCACAGAGCTCTCTTCAGTTCAGTGCTAGTTCCCTCCTGTAACCCTGCCTGCCCCAGACCCCTTCCCACTGCAGCCTGGGGAAAGGGGAAATCTCCATAGAGCCACTCCCAGATGTGGCCCTCAATCTTTTCTGCCTTCAAGGGGAAACCTCACAAAGGAGATTCCAAGCAGCCAGGCCATGGGGAGTCTCTGCGATTGGCCTTGCAGCCTGTCCCACCTGGCTGTTGTCATGGACCCTCTGTGAGGTCACTGCCTCCCAACCAATGAACTGTGGTGCTGCAAAAGGCCCTTATGATGTCACTGCTGCCTTGCAGGGCTTGTGTTCTGCTCCTGGCCAGCCCCTTTGCATGTTTGAGCTGCTCCCTCCGTGTCACCCCCACTCACTCAGGGGCTAGTTCTGGGGCTCAAGCAGGGAACACCAGAGGCTGCTCAGGGCTCAACATGCAACCTGCAGACTTTAAGGCCAGAAGAGTCAGTTAGAACGTCTCATCTGCCCCACCCCCAATCCTTCGTATCAGCAGGCTCCGGTATGGCTCAGTAGTGCTCCCACCATGCGGGAGCCTCAATATTAACCTGAGGCAGGCTCCCTTAACATGGATGTGCTACCTCGACTTCCAGCCCCAGGAAGCACTGGGGAGTAATTACTCTGAATGATTCTGGGGAGTGGTAATGTTGAAATAGCGACACTGGAGCATCCACGCTGCTGCTATTGGGAATTAACAATTTCAGAATATGTGTTATGGCCCAAGGAAGGCAGGAGTGCAGATTTTAAAATAACCAGCCCATTATTTAGACGTAACAGGCTTGGTAGCGTGGACGCTCTGCTTGTTATGTCAAAATAACTCCAGAGAGTAGAACCAGGGCTCGGTTTCTACCTTACAGACACTTGTGGCTCCATTGATTTTTTCCTGAAAGGGCCTCTTGGCTCCTGTGGAAAACCCCTTTTAGCCACTGGTTGAAGGAGGCATCTGAGAGAGGGGAAGGAAGAAGGTGGCCAGAGCCTCCTCCCAGCAGGCTGTTCCTGTGCAGGGTCTGTGCATGCTGGAGTCTCCTCCTCCCAGATCTCTCTGGTCTGCTTTTCACAAAGCCTCAGCCTCTTCCTTGTTTCCTCCTCCCTCTCTGTAGCAGGCAGCTGGCAGAGAACAAGGCCCCATCCTAGCTGTGCAGTGGCCAACACAGGGCTTGAACCCATGACCTTGGCATTATTAGCACCACCCTCTAACCACCTGAGCTATCCAGACCAAAGCTATCCTCGTAGAATGAGGCTTACCAAATTCAAAATAAGCACTCCGCTATTTCGAATTAAATTCAAAATAGCGGTTTGCATGTATAGACGCTATTGAAGTTAATTTGAAATAACGGCTGTTATTGCAAATTAAATTTGCAGTGTAGACATACCCTCAAAGAGGAACCTTTACTGAGATTGTCTGTCTCTGTTCTGATTTCACTGTGTGGTGAGACACTGGCACTTACAGCAGCATGGACGGGGGGGAAGGGGGCAGATTGGGAACCAGGTGGGACAGTCTGGAACCTGGGTATGGAAGATGCTCCACCCTTCAGTTAACACCCCTGGGGGGGAGGGCTCCCTCCAGTTCTGCTCAGCCTTGGTTTCCTTTCCCCTGCAGACACTCCCTTAAGGTGTGTGTACACAGCAAAGTTATTTTGGAATAATGGCCGTTATTCCGAAATAACTATGTGAGCGTCTACACAGCAATTCCGTTATTTCAAAATAATTTTGAAATAATGAACAGCTTAAACCTCATTCTACAAAGAATAATGCCTATTCCAAAATAGCTATTTCAAAATAAGGCTTGTGTGGATGCTCCACTTCTGCTATTTTGAAATAGCCCCTCACCAGGGCCAATCTAAGTTATTCCTCCTGGGGCTCTAAATCAAGGCAGCATGTCTACATTAGGGAAGCCTGCCTTGAACTAATTTTGAGGCTTCCCTGCAGTATAGATGTGCTATTTTGATAAGCTATTTAGGAATAACTATTCCAGAATAGCTTATTCCGAAGTAACTGTGTAGTGTTTACATAGCCGGAGAGTCTTGTAGCTCCAGGAGACCAGCTCTGTCTTTCTTATTCTGGGTTCATTTGTCCACATTCAAGGGGTTTCCTCTTCTGTAAAGAGCCTGCATTGGCCTAGTCAGCAAGTGCTTTGGTGTTTTTTTTTTTTTGCTTCTCACCATTCCTCTTGGGCCCATGGTGTAAGGGGCAGCACTATGGGTTTCACCTGTGCTTCACACACAAAAGGATCCTCAATCCAAACCAGGCAGAAGCGCCACTTCTCGTTCTTTGCAGCTTCCCTTTCTGCCCTGGCAGGCGCTGCTCCTTCTACCACTGGCCTGTGCCTGGCATTCCTTCCCCCTCCCGGCACCACAGAAAACCCCTTGGTGTGAGGCTGGGCAAGCTAGAGGCCTCAGGCCTCTCACCTCTTAGGGCCTGTCTACACTAGGAAATTATTTCAAAATCAGCTTATTCACCAAGGAAATGAGGAATTGCTATTTTAAAATAACTCGCTAGTGGAGAGAGGTCCTTAGAGGCTTACATCTTGGCCTCCTCTGCCCTTGTGTGCTGCTTGCCAAAGGAGGAAGCAAGGCAGGAAAGAAGCAAGTGACACTGAGGCAGACAGCTCAAAGGGGATGAGGAAGCCCTGTTGCCTCAGGATGGGAGAGGAGACAGGAGGCCTTGCCTTTTGTTTCCATGCTGTCAATCACAGGGCCCGGAGAGCTCCCTGGCTGGCTGCAGCCACTTTCTGCTTCATGGCCTAGGCCCAGGCAGTCCATCGGGGGTCTCTTTGTGGCCCCTAGACCTTTTGTTTGCCATTTCCCAAGCGCAGGGTGGCCAGATTTCGGAATGCTTACCAGCCCCACAGGAGGGGGCTGGTTTGATGTTTCACCCCACGGCTCAGCAACGAGCCCCCCAATTTCCCCCTGTGCTCTGGGTGCCAGGTTTGCTGTTTGAATTCTGTGTGGCAGGTGACGTGAGGCCTGGGCACTGGGATTATTTACCAGTGTAACAGCTCCATCCCCCAACTTGACACTCTGCATGCAGAGAAGGGGGCCGGCTAACCTAATAAACACTGAAAAACCTGTCTCTAATTCCCAGAAACTAACGTATTCAATCACAGTCCCTCTGAGATTAAAAAGCCCCCCAAAACAAACAAACCCAAGATTGGTTCCTCATTGCCACCACCCAAGTGAGTCCAAGAAAATCAGGGAAGAGATCACTTGGGAAATCCCTTCCCTAAAGTAAAGCTCTCCCCTGTCTCAAACTTCCTTTTGCTTGGAGTTGGGAAAAACAGAGGGAATCCATAGACAACAATGGACTCTGCCCTTGTAACTAGGCACTTAGTCCTAAGGACACAACAATCAACCAATACCAGTTAATTAGAATAAAAAGAAAACTATTTTATTATCAAAACAAAACTACTGTTGCAAGCATAGTAAATTGGCTAGGGGGAAAAAAGCCACTATTTGATATATATACTCAGGGAAAGTCCCTGGGCTGTAATCCTTAGTTACAAAAGAGAAAAATAATTAGACAGTTCAGACATGATTTCCAAACAGCCAAAACAAGGAAAACAATAAACCCCGATGAACTATCTAAACTTTTCCCAACTTACACATTTCAAGGAGTCCATTCTTGGAGCGAGAAAGCATCTCCTATCTCCCTGAATACCTGGGAGAAACTGCTTGGATCTCAAATAAAGAAGAAAGAGAAAAAGGCTCTTTCCCAGTTTGAAATTCCTACCTGCATTGCTACTGACAGACTGCCTGAACCCCCGCAAAGGTACACCTTTGCTAGGTACCTGAATTAACCCCTAAGTCACTGGATGTTGATCAGCGCTCCTAATCATGACACTCCTGTATGGATTTTCTGATGTTTAATGAGGTGTCCTTTCTGACTGAAGCTTTTCCCGCACTTAGAGCAGTTGAAGGGTTTTTCTCCTGTGTGAATTCTCTTATGACTAGTAAGAGTTGCCTGCTGATTGAACCTTTTCCCACACTGAGAGCAGTTGAAGGGTTTCTCTCCAGTGTGGATTCTCCTATGTGCAACAAGGTCTGAGGTCTGACTGAAGCTTTTCCCACAGTCAGAGCAGTTGAAGGGTTTCTCTCCTGTGTGTATTCTCTGATGACTAATAAGAGTTGAGCGTCTACTGAAGCTTTTCTCACACTCGGAGCAGTTGAAGGGCTTCTCTCCTGAGTGGAGTCTCCCATGTGCACCGAGGTATGACCTCCGAGTGAAGCTTTTCCCACAGTCAGAGCAGTTGAAGGGTTTCTCTCCTGTGTGTATTCTCTGATGACTAATAAGAGTTGAGCGTCTACTGAAGCTTTTCTCACACTCGGAGCAGTTGAAGGGCTTCTCTCCTGAGTGGAGTCTCCCATGTGCACCGAGGTATGACCTCCGAGTGAAGCTTTTCCCACAGTCAGAGCAGTTGAAGGGTTTCTCTCCTGTGTGTATTCTCTGATGACTAATAAGAGTTGAGCGTCTACTGAAGCTTTTCTCACACTCGGAGCAGTTGAAGGGCTTCTCTCCTGAGTGGAGTCTCCCATGTGCACCGAGGTATGACCTCCGAGTGAAGCTTTTCCCACAGTCAGAGCAGTTGAAGGGTTTCTCTCCTGTGTGTATTCTCTGATGACTAATAAGAGTTGAGCGTCTACTGAAGCTTTTCTCACACTCGGAGCAGTTGAAGGGCTTCTCTCCTGAGTGGATTCTCCTATGTTTAACAAGGTATGATCTCTGAATGAAACTTTTCCCACAGTCAGAGCAGTTGAAGGGTTTCTCGCCTGTGTGCATTCTCTGGTGTAAATTAAGGGACTGTCTCCAGTGGAAGATTTTCCCACAGTCATAGCAGATGTAGGGTGCTTGTGGATGGGGGATTTTCTGTCGAACAGTTTCTGTGTTTCTTTTCATCCCTTTGTTCCTGTGACTGGATTTATCCTGTCCTTCTACCAGATGGTTTTGCTGTGGCCCTTCTGGGCTATGCTGACTCTCCCAGGTCTCTCCTTGCTCAGGACTCTGGGAAACAGGTCCTTCAGATCTTCCCAATAACATTTCTTGTAAACCAAGACTCTCCTCATTGTTCTCACTCACCGTCCAATCACCTGCTGGGACAGAAAGAGAATCCAGATAGGAGTCATTCTCCGTGCTGAACTGAAAGGAAATCTCTGAAAGGGGAACAGAGAAGGAGGACCACACCCAAATATTGACTGGAAAGGTTGAATAATCCTGAGCTGAGTTCATTCTCCTTCCTGCCAACCCTTCCCCAGAGGAGAACCCAACCTTCCTCCCACACTTTGACTTGAATTGAAGACAAGCTGAAAAGTCACTTAGACTTGATGAAAATGCTCAAGTGATACCTGCTATGACAGGAGTTGGCAACCTTTTCAAACCAAAGAGCCAAACTACATAAAAATTCAGAACAAATGGTCAACGAAGAGACATATAAGAATGCCCACTTGCATGGCTGAAAATATACAACTTCATAGTATAGATAATTGACAGAATGATGAATAGCATACATGAAACATTGTACGCACAGACTTTATTTAATGACACGTTTGCTGCTGTACCTTTTTGCATATTTCTTTGAAGTTGACATCATAACTTGTCAAATCCAGTTTCATGCAGGCATTCAGGCTGTCTTCTGTCAATCTTATGGAAGGGGACTGCAGATGTGGGTGTGCATGAGTCTTGGATTGTAGGGGGTATGAAGGCCTAAGGGCAGGGGGATCAGGTGTATGATGGGCTCAGGGTTGGGGAGTGTGAGGAGTGTTATGGCAGGATACTTGTGATGTGGGGGTGCAAAAGTCTGATGATGTGAGGATGCATGAATCTAGGGATGTGGCGACATGAAGGGGTCAGGACAGAGGGCTGAAGAGGAGCCTGGACAGCTCTCCCTTGACCAGAACAACGTCTGCATTGCTAGGCCGCATCCCGGCCTTGTCCAAAGTATGGATCTCTAACAAAGCAAACCCTAGGCTTGACTCAAGTTTGGTGCACACATGCAGGCAAGGCCAAAAAGGGTGGGGGAGAGTCAGGAGTGCTTGCCCAATCATGCATAACTTGTACAGCAAGACCAGGCCCCAAATACCAGAAACAACCTGGCACTAGTACATCCCATTTTTCATAAGAGACAAATTCCAGAGACAGCTGAAAAAACTAAGGGCTTTTGCAATATTTTGGCACAGCAAAATGTATCCTAAATATTGGCATAGAAGGTATCTTACATAATATGTAGTTGATTGGTAGATATTACTAGATTGATCAAGTCAAGTATAAATATAGGGGTAGAAAAGATAATCAGTGGGAGGAAATAAGCAGGATTGACCCACAGGTCCAGCTTTTGATGTAACTAGAAAGAATGAACCCCTTCACGCTGGCGACCCCAGTGCATGGCATTCCTACATGTGGGACTCAACGGAACCACGTAGCATACAGGTAAAGTGTAAGTGATTTATGCTTTATTATTATATTATAGTAGAACATCTATTAATTGCTTTTGCATTGCTTTGCATTGTATTAATTGCTTTAGATTTTAAACATTAAATATTTAAAATTGTATAGTCATTGTTTTTAAGGCTTGTAAAACTTAAAACAACTATGTTAACTGCTTAAAGCTTGTAATAAATAAGAAAGTGGTTAAATCTTTCTAGAGTATCCTGGTTTCCCTTAGACCTAAAAATTGAACTATATGACAATTGACATCACAAACAGAATCTGAGGGATCCAGACAGGTCCAGGAGATTTGGGAACCATGCCACTTTCCAGGAGCAGTACGAGAGGAAAGGATAAGGACCAGGGGATGATGCCAGGATGGGCACTTTCTAATCCCTGGACTATCCTTGAGCATTTTACAAGCCAAACTCAGCTGCTGATTGGCTGGGATCGAGATAAATGTCGAGTAACTGGTAAAAACTGGGAAAACATAGACTGGCACTTGTAAAGCAATGGGAAGCTGTAAAGAATAAAAATAAAAGTAAAAAAGCTAGAATTTTGCAATTAATATAAGATGGCTTAAACAGCATTCTACTACACTAGCATTCCAAATACATGAAAATTTGGATTTACAAAAAAAAAAAAAAAAAAAAAAAAAGGAACAGGTGGCATGGAGACTAGTTAAGAAGCCTATCTTTCTTGCTAAATTAGTAAGGGAGAAAACCTGTGTCCGTGGAAAGGGACCAGTCAGCAGAGAAAGCAGGATCAGGCCCAAACAAATAAGAAAGCAAAGCAAGCAAACATTTAAGAGCATTTAAGAGAAAGAGCGTAAAAAGTTAATTCTGAAAAGTCTAGAAGGAATTGAGCAATTGTTGAAAATGTCAAAAAGAAAAAGTGGTATAGTAAAACAATTCTTGGCTTTTTTGCAGCCTTTCTGGGGGGAAATGAATCCTTTCAAAAGCACATCTCTTGAGCAAAGGCACATGCCAGTGTAGACGCTCTCTTGCGCAAATACTTTAACGCAAGAACTCTTGCGGTAAAGAGTATTTGCGCAAGATCATGCCAATGTAAACATAGCCCAAATGTAAAAACAATTCCTGCTCCATATGTCATATCTGTCAACTAGACCTGTCCTCCTACGGCTCAAATACTGTATGGGGCAAGAGCCACTCTCTTTCATTATCAATCATCTACTGACCACGTAACTTGGACCACCAACAGTATCTCTAATGTCACCTTTGGAGTGACAGGCTGCATTTGGGTCACCCGGACCAGAGCTCGCCAGCATCAATTTGGGAATGCGAAATGTGGGCATCCATATCCCTAGCCAAGTCAGTAAACTCACCTTTGCATTGAATATCTCAGACCCAAATATTTTGAACAATTATGGGCAGAGAATACCAACTATGTTATCGAAGTGGTGCGCAATCAGACTGGAAGACTACGTCTACCTTGGCATGATCTTGCGCAAATACTCTTTAACGCAAGAGTTCTTGCGTTAAAGTATTTGTGCAAGAGAGCATCTACACTGGCATGTGCCTTTGCTCAAGAGATGTGCTTTTGCGCAAGAGCATCCGTGCCAGTGCAGACGCTCTCTTGCGCAAGAAAGCTCTGATGGCCATTTTAACCATAGGGCTTTCTTGCTCAAGAAATTCATGTTGCCTGTCTACGCTGGCCGTGAGTTCTTGCGCAAGAACTCACGGCCAGGGTAGACAGGCAGCAAGTTTTTGTGCAAAAGAGGCCGCTTTGGCACAAGATTGCGCCAATGTAGACATAGACAAACTGTGTATGGGACTTATCATTATTCTGTAACAAATGGATTACAACTTATGTTCATGGTCAGGGCTCAACAAATAATGCAATCTACTCGCCCGTGGTGAGTAGATTGCAACCCGGAAGAGCCGGATTCGGACGATCTGCGAATGTGCAGAATGATCTGCACATGCACAAATCGCCGGACAGCACGGCTGGTGAGCGGGGCTCGCCGCAGCTCGGTGAGCCCTGTTCATGGTTATAATTGCTGGGGTGAATGGTTAACTTGATTGTGCCACAAGACTTGATTAGGGTTGCCAGGTGTTCAGTATTAAACTGGGAAGTCCAGCATTTGTGCCTTCTGTCCGCTAAAGAAATTGAGAAAATTCTTGACATATACAATGTCCAGTGTTTTCTGCTTTTCCTGGCTTGGCGCCCAGTCGGGGTGGGAGGAGTGGCAGAAGCTGCAACCACTGCTTTGTTTTTTGCTCAACAAAATTTTCCTGGCATTTTTTTCTGTATTTTTGGTGAAACCATCTGGCAACACTAGGCCTGATAGTGTAAGTATTTGGGAACAAGCTTGTAGGAGACCTGTAAACAGTGACTGGACACAGCAGATTCGGTATACATGGGGACACAAATGGCTTTTGGTGTGTGTGTGGGGGCGCACACAGCATGGTATTACGTCTCTACTGAACCCACTAACCCAGTAGAAGTACCCACTCTCCTGGGTCATGCGATGCCTGAGGATTCTGTAGTATTTTCACAGGGAGTTATTGAATATTTTGTGACTCTAAAATGGGACATTAATATTTCCTGAATGCATTCTAATTGTAGTAAATGGGCTAATCTCATGCTCAATACTTGGATGCAGCATAAGGAGGGTACTCAAAGGGCTATCAGTATGTCCCTGCCCCCCATTATTGTAATGGGTTGTATCTGGGCACTTAGAGTAACGGCCAAATGGCTTTTACCATTGGGTGACTTATTACACCACCATGGTTGCCAAGAGTGGGGAAAACATGATGGTATTGTAAACTAAACAACCATCGTACACTGTGAGAAGTAGTTGCTTAAGATGGCAGATATAGAGCAAGTAGCAGAGTAATGTTAGTATGATATATAATTGCAGGCTATTTATCTATAGCTAGCATGCTATTGAGTGTTTTAATTCATACTATAGTATTAGTAGTTATATTAATAGCAGTGTTGATGTTTTTGTGGCTGTCTCTGGGAGTATCTAGACTACATCTTTTTTTGAAAAAACAGGCCTTTTTTCAAAAAAAACGTAACCCGCGTCTATGCTGACATTGCGTTCTTTCAAGATTAAATCAAAAGAACATGGTGATTTTTTTTTAACAGCGGTAAAGCTCTTTTTACAAGGAATAACGCCTTTTTCGGAAGAGATCTTTCGAAAAAAGGCATGTGTGGACGCGGGGGAGCCAGTTTTATCGAAAAAAGAGGCCTCCAGGAAAAACCCTGGTGGACAATTTTTCTACACTAATCACAACTCTATAGTTCCTGTCTCCTGCCAGGACTTAAAGGCACAGGCACCCCGGTAAGCCACGATGGCAGGAAGCTGGCTTCAGGACAGAACATTGACTGCACAGCTCAACCTGCCACAACAGGTTAAAAAAAAGACACAGCCACAAGGCTCCTGAGGCCCCCCTGACCCTTCCAGGGAGCTGCCCCAGGATTTGCCCAGGGGGAACAAATGCCAGGCACCTGCTTGGTCAGGGGCTGAGATCCAGCCCCTGCTGGAGGTCTGGACTAAGGAGGAGTAACTCTGGGCCCTTCAATCGCGGCGAAGGAGCACCGACATATATGGCAGGATGGCCACTGCTCTGGCACAGAGAGGCCACCAACCTTGACCA